CGCAGAGTGACGTGGTGGGCGTCTTGAGCCAAGCCTGCAAGTCGAAGATCGTACTGTTTTGAAACCTCAAATTCATATTCTCATGTTGTGGTATCATGCTACATTGTCGTACAATCCAAACATAACTCCGTCGCTAAGTAAAAACATCGTGATCAACTCAAAACTAGGTCCTCGCCTCATTACGCGCTGACCGCTGGCTACCACTCACAATCACCTGAGATACCTCGTCTTCCCTCTTCTAAGACCACAGCCTCACAACTTCTACAACACCCAGTCCCAACGCAGCTACCTGTAAGACGCGGCTTGGCGACAGCATGTCTGGAGCAGCGCTGCTGGAGTTTCCCCCACTTCCCTTGCCTCCTTTTCCTCCTTTACCACCGCTGGATGCTCGTTCTTCGAGCTGGACTTCTGGCGCTGTAAGCACATCGCGTGCTGATAGTGCGTTGCGGAATTGTTCGCGAGTCTCGATGGTGACAGGCTCGGCCACCGCGTCTGGGTTGGCGACAGGAGCCGGGCTGGCGAGCGCGAGAGTCGCAAAAAGCAGAGTTGTTGCCGCAGTAAACTTCATTATGGATGATGATTGAGGTAGGTTTTGAAGAACAAGATTGCAGGGGCAGCGGTATAGAGGTCGGAATTTTGTAGATTGAGCACTTTATCAAGATTGCTTGTTTGATAGATAAGTCGTTGGAAAGATACTTTCGTATTACTTGGAGCGTACTGCGAATGTTTTGTAGGAATGTACAAGAACAGCGGCATGTGTTGCATTTATGTATTGTAACTACAAGCGGTGTGCCTTATGATGCACACCATGGACGCCTTACACACAGCCTGTGAGATCGCCAACACAGCCTGCTTCCAACCTGTCGCGACACCTGTAGTGGTCTGTGACGTTGGTGAAGTTTGCACCAATAGCGACAGCTCTATGCGACCAATCGTAGTCGGCGGGGAAATTGGCTGACGACTTGGCTTTCTTGGCGGTCAGCTGAACAAGCGTCCTGTCCCGCCTTTGATCGCCTGTTGACAGAGCTTGTAGAACCCGAGTTGGGTATCGCGTCGTGTGTGTAACTCATTCGACTTCCAACCAATCGACCTTCTTAACAAATGACAGCCTTGAGGGATACGTGTATCCTGGTATAGGGTTACGTCTTGCCAGCTATGCGGCCAGTGAAGATGAGCGGAGGGATCATCCATGTCCTGGTAGTTTAAGCCATCCAAGGTTGTGGCTGATGGGGCCTTCGCGAGCGTGGAGTTGGTTGTGTACGAACAACTAGCAAGACGTTCCCGAGCGCGTCCCGTACGACCCCGATAGATTCTGTTTGCTCTCTGAAGTATACTGGTCCTTGTCCTGACTGGCAGGTATATGCTGGAGGCGAATGGGCCATGCGCGTGGTTTAGCTGATGAAGAAGGAGAGTTTCGCATTGCCTTTGGAAAGAACTGCCGTGCCATCGGACGAAGAGCAGCAATGCTAACGAAGATGATTCCTAAGCTGCATTCTCCTACTGTCAGGATAAGACATACGACACTTTGATCTAGACGTTTGTCAGCTAGTGTCTCCGAACTGCATGAACACCATCCACGCAAGTCCTGCGGCTAATCGATACGATGTGTTTCTTTGGTTGCTAGATCCGAGAAGGCCCTACTGCTGACGCTTGAAGTAGAATCTTACTTACAGGTGATATCCAAGACGCGTAACTGGTGTAGGTAGGCAATGCGAACAATACCTACAATGCATGCACTGCGGTGGGTCAGCATGGTTCGACAGCATGCCATATATGCTTGTGACACACCTTGCACCTCCTGCTAAAAGCATACAGAGAATGACTCGTTGCTTTCTTGGTAGATTCAACTTCCAAAGATGGGATAAGGGTAGCACAAAGAGGAGGAGATCCGTCGCGACATTGACGGCGGAACTAGCATAGAGATAGCTCACGTAATCCACGCATACTGGTTCAATAGTGAAGTTCCACGCTCCTCGGACAGGACGGCACTGGAAGATGGTGACAAAAATTCCTGTAGATGCTTTAGCATGTGTGAACATGCGGGAGGCATTGTGTCTTACCCGTAATGAACAGGCCTAGAATGATCACAGATATCGCGTACAACGCCGCGCGGAATGATTTGTCGGGGATGAAGCGAAGGTACTGTGATATGATGGCGAGTTTCGTTAACGCAATAGCGAAGCAGTATAGCACCTGGCAGACGAAGAGATACTGCAGTGCATTAGTCGCTGCTCTTTGACTTCGGAATGTCAAACTTTCTGGCTACCGAACGCTAGCTTGGAACGTGGCCCTCGAAAGTGTGCTTGTACTTACCAGTATACAGTTCTTCAGTGTGTCAAACAGCGTCGGTATAGGCAATAGCCAAATATGTCGCCCAAGACCATGGTGAGTTGCTACGGTACCGTCAGCCCGAATCAATATACCAGATGGTTGCTGCTTACCTGCGATGCACATTCCCGCTAGAGCGACCGTGAAGACCGCGGCGAAGATGATGAGGACTGTTGTCCATTAGCCATAACCTCTTGTTTTCTGTTTAACACGTACCATCGTCTAGAAAGATATGCCGAACGTATCTTGCTCTAGAGAAGATTCGTAGAGCGACAGTCAAGACGACCAGGGCGATAAAAACGGTGCAAGTTATTGTAACAGCGCCAAGTCGTGATGAGTGGTCGCTGAAATCGAACTGGCTGATATCGACTTCGATGCCACCGAAGTAAACGGGGTCCAGATTAGGTCCCGACTGGCTCGCCATCCTGCAGGGACTTGGTGTTTCCTGACAAGGTGATGAGAAAGAGTACGTTCTGCATCAAGATGTATGAAATGAAGAATCCCATGGGGATTTGAGTCGCCGAAGAACTGGGCCGCGACCGGCGCATTGTTAGAGAGGCGAACCGCCTGCAATAGATGCGTAATAGACGGGTTGTAACTTTGATCGTCCTTAGTGTCACCTAAGACCATGTGGCGTCTTTCATAACTTTGGGTGAGACCATACTATTATCGGCCGACTACCGCCGGTGAACGCAACACTAGAGGTTAGTCCAGAACGTGGCGAAGCTGTTCCCCGGATGAAAAGCAAGATGTGACCCAGGTGCTTGGAACTCTATACTGGGTAGTGTGCTGAACAGACTTTTGATGCCTTTCAAGCTGAACTCGTGCTCTCGTATCATCGGACGGCAGGGCCTCTACGATGCAATGATAGATGAGTTGTCTACCGATGTTAGGTCCCGAGGTTCGAGCTATTGAGGGTGTGCGGGCCTGCGCTGTGCGGCTAGGTGCCAACCTCCTTGATTCCCACACCCTTCTAGAGAAGAACGAGCCCACATCACCTTATGCAGGCACCAGTAGAGTCGATGACAGGTTCAGGGCGAACCGCACCGTTGCTTTCACAACCAATCATCTACGTGATTGGCCATGATAAAGAGACTGACAGGACATATACCTAAGACATAGTGACCCAAACGTTTCGGGCGGCCATGCATTGTCGATCCTAGATGGGTACAATAACCGTGACATCAAATTAGTAGCGCTCTGTGCAGGGCCGAGGTCAAATGGTCTGTAGAATCGCTGGCTGACTTGGGCATGGTGAAAGTCTATTGCAGATGGATCTCCTGTGGCGTCATTTGATCCGCGATCGCTCCTTTCCGCGTTCTACGACGGTAGGCGATCCCATTTGTCGGCAACAGTCACTAAGATAGTTGTAGCTCTTCAATAGTTGCTCTCTCCTTCTCGCCACGCGTTCAGGTGGTTAAAAATTTGATAGGGTACCAAGGTAGGTCGCACACAGCAGGTGGTGATGTGATTTGGCTGAGAGGCGAATATTCACCATTCCGATAGCCACGCGGTGGCAGCGATGTGTTTCGATGAGAGATCTGAATGTGCGGGCAGGTGCCTGACAAGCAGACCATGGCGCCGGACTACGTTGACGGCGTGCGACGATGAGTGCGGGATGAGGAGAGAAGCGTACTGACGGGACGCATCCTGACGGGTCGGGTTCGTGTCCGGGATGCTGATCCTGTGGGCTCCACAGCACGGACTTCAACGCCTCTTCTTCCCACCAAGGTCGCAATCATCCATCTCTTAAGGTACCCGTGCATCTCCATCGATTTGGCGCAAACCTCCATGAATCGCGAACATCTCCATGCATGCGCTCATTTCCACAAATGTATCGTGCACTGTTACATACCTTTTGTGTTGAGCTAAATCTTCTCATCCCCGCGGCGCTCACTAGTCGACATGTTCGCCCAGCAAATTATCCATGGGTGGCATAACCTTTCCCCGAGTCTTCCTCACCAAAGTTCAACGTCCTAGAACTCACCTCATATCCGAACTGGTTGTTCCTGCGTTCTTAAGTGCCTCCCAAGAGCCTTCCAAGAGCCCCCGCATACCTTCATCCTCGGTATACTCATATGTAGTTCATTGCGTCATATGCTGCCCAACCGGGCTGAACCATGCCTGCCACGCGGACATACAATCAATGCATAGGTATAACTACACCTCAGGAACAAGAGATGCATGGCTACGTACCCCCGGCGGTGGTGGCTTCCGCATCTTGGCGACATCGACAACAGCGGAGCCCCGGAAGACGCGTCTCCCACCGCACGTGGGGAGCTTGGCCAGCGGAGACTCAACAAAAAGAGTGGCAGACTGAGGCCTGTAATAAGTAAGGCCAAGTTGACAACTGCCCAAGTATATGGGATAGAAGGAGGCTGAGTCGCCGACAAGACGCCCTAATGATGCCGAGTTCGAATGAGCGATAGGTGCCGCGACAACGCCGATGCTTGAACCCGGAGCCATGGGCGGGAATGTCGTCTTTGACGTGCGCTATTCTGAGACATTGGTATATATGTGGAGGCGGGGTAAGGTATTCTTGCTTTAAGAAGCGTGATCTTGTTTCTAAGGTATCCCCGAACTTATCTACAATCGGTAGCTGATATACAATTTGTTGTTGAACTACACTCTGGCATCCCCGGCCTTGCTCGACTCTTTCAATTAGACTTACAATGGCCACATCGACAGACCCGACTGTGCCGCTCCCCACCACGACCGACAATGACGATGATGACGACGATGATGTGACTTCTCTCGCACCTGGACCACCTGGACCACCAGCCCCAACACCGAACGCCTCTACAACATCAGCATCAGCAACAGCAACATCATCATCACCGCTGTCATCTCTAACGGGCGTCCCCACTCCAAATTCGACTGATGCCTCAATTTCCCCAGGCCCAGCTGCCACGTCCGGAAACAGCGGACTTAGCGCTGGTGCCAGCGCGGGCATTGGTGTGGGAGCTGCTGTTGGGATAATTCTACTATTGCTAGCAGGCTGGTTCCTTGTACGGAGAAGACGTTCTGGATTGTTGCGCCGTCTATCGAAAATATCCGCCGTCAGCAGCGGCACTACGCACGACCTAGAGAAATCCGGGATGGGAATGAGCCCAGAGATTATAGAACATGGAGCGCTTGGCCCGGCGGAGATGGAGGCTGGAAATGCAAGTGAGAGGCGCCCTTCTGAGCTCGCCAGTCCCGTTGTCCCTGTGGAGGCTGCTGGTGATCGAAGATTTGCTGCAGAATTGCCAGGCTCTGAAGTTCCCCCAGCAGGCGTGAGGAAGGGAAGTAAGGAGCGGCTGTTTCTAGATTCGCCGATTGATGAAGAGGAAGGCCGGTTCGAGAAGGATTTGAGACCAATCGACGAGAAGAAACCACCATTGTGATAACAGACATGTTGTATGCTAGTGTCTCGTTTATCCATTATAGGCGTCATCGGAATATACCCATGTTAATCCATCCGTTATGGCTGGCAGTGTCCGAGATCCGATAGACCTTCTTGTGTGCGGCTGAGAACGTCGACGGTTCTGTCATGTTTGCTTTGTTTGTGGAAAGTCCCACAAGGTCGTCGCTCAAGTGTTTGTGTTCTCGCGATGACCCAATGGGAAATGCGCATTTGGAGGCGGTGAGATTGGTGAAGCGTCCTGCGAGGAATAACACCATGACGAGCGTAGTAATGGTGAAACCTCGCCAGAAGAGGCTTCAGGTGGTGAGACTGTGAGCAGTGGTAGGCGCGAATATACGGCCTCAAGGGTAGGGCCTGAAGGCTCCGGCTCAAGTGCCATACTCCACGTTCTCCATTGCTCGAGTTTCTGGGCGTACAACTCTTCCGCTTCTTTCGACTTGTCGTGGTGGTTGTCATTTCCGTCCACTTCTTGCACAGCAGTATCGCCGTGCAATTCAGGTATATGACCTGCATCCAGCTCGTAGATGATCTGAGCATCTACTTCGACAGGTGGTGGCGGTGGTGGAGGTAATGATGGTGAAGACGCAGGCGTGGCGGCCCACCAAGCCTTCTCTTGCGGTCCGGCTTCGGCATCCATGATCTCTGCCTTTGTTGTATGGAGTTGTGCTCTTCGAGCTAGTACTCGGTTTCTCCGTCTGATGGCAAAGAAGGCGAGAATGGCAATGACGACGACCGACACGGAGCACGCTACTCCAATGGCAATACCACGCTTGATACCAGGGAGAGCCAAGTCGGTTTCCAGAGCAGTTTCTGCCTCAATCGTCGTCGTTAGGTTTGAGGGTCTCATAGTGGGCGATGGTGCGAACGTCGCCATGGTTGCGGAATTCACTTGAAGCTTCGCATATGCATGAGACGTGGAAAGAGGAAAAGTTTAATGCTTCATTGCAGAGTGCGGCTCTCGGGCATATGCAGTACATGATCGGGACATATTGCGGCGCAGTTGTGAAGCCTGCATGATCGCCGCACCAGCCTAGCAACAAAACCATGCCAGAGGTGGCTTCGGCGGCTACAGCTCATGAGACTGGGGGTGAACACGCTGCTCTGGACCAACCAAGCCCCGGCGCGTAGGGGCAGTGCAACAGACATGGAACGCGGCATAAGCCTCTGTGATGGGTATCACGATAGTTCTCGCGTGGTGGAGAGGAACTGGGGCCGGTAAGATGTAAGGGGCATGAGGCTGAATGCTGGTGTTGCGGCACCGTAAGCGTGGTTGCGTAACAAGGCGTCACGTCATCGTCTGCCTTCTGAGCATGAAGCCTGAGCAACTACGGATACCATGCTTTCATCAATCGAACGTTTGTACTCAGGATGTCTATGTCGCTTTGCACCAGTCTTCTCTGTAGCCGTGAGTGGTTTATCCGATGTAGGGCAAAGCCTGGCGCTAAGCGAGCACCTTCAAACCACATCCTGCCCAACTCTGCGACTCTGTCCTGGCATGGAACAAAACTTTGTTTTCTCCACCACCCTATCCCCGGAAACATGAATTGCCACAAGCTCGGCTTTCCCGCCTGCCGCTGTCAGCCACGGGTTTGACGGCAAGCATCATGCTGCTAGGCTGCCTCGGGGTCGCGGGGATCTCAAATCGCTCAGCCTCGCTGGCAGCCTGAACCTCAGTTTGGAAGCGGCCCCATACTTTGACGTGTCTACCTAGTATACAAAGCTTGTCTCAATAAAGATACTTCTGTCGGTGTCTAAAATAACCTTCAAGGCGAGTCAGTTGTTAAGCTGCCGTTCGTAGTAGCAACTGTTCAGAAGACGGAGCTAGATAGCTAATCGTTCACGATTTGTCGACATTGCCATGTGGTCTCCACGCCGCCTCAATGCAACCTGTGCAACCGGAACTCTTTGAATTTGACGCTCTCATTGTGAGGCAGAAAACTCAAACGGCTAACATGATAGCATGTGAATCTGTGCAAAGCAAGATGTCGCAGAAGGAAGGCTGGAGTGGAGAGTCGGTCTAGGTCCAAGATGGATTAGCGCAGCAGCGGATGACGCTAGGCCGAGCCTCATCCATGTCCCCCAACGCGAACATCGGCGCATTGGTTCCACGGCGACACAGCAGTTTAACAGCTGCGCGCATGCGATATTGGTTGATGCGCATGGGCCCAGCATGAATGAAGAGGACGACTACGAGAATGGCAACAGTGAGAATACCCAGCCCTCTCCACATAGCTGTCGACTGACGGCGCGCAACAGGTTCCGCCGAGGAGGAAGATGAGCAGGAAGAGGCAGATGCCATGGACGTAGATGAGGAAGAAGAGGGCGACGATGGGGATGACGGCGACAACGATGACGACGACGCAGAAGGGGATAACGATAACGACAACGACGATGAGGACCAGGACCAAGATCAAGACCAGGACGAGCCCGACAGCCCTTCACAGCGACCGCGCGGTAGCATACCCAACGGAGGTACGCCTGGACAATCAGACCCAAACCCTGCCGTCACCTTCACATCGCCCAGCCCTCGGGCAGCGGCTTCAGGCGTGCTCGGCAATCTGCCCTTCCGTCCCAGCGTGCGACAAGAGGCCTTGAACGCGCCCATGTACGATATAATACCCACCATCGCCGCGCCACACAGTACCTCGATCAACGCCATTACGGCAACACCGGACATGCGGTGGGTTTTTAGCGGCGGAGCGGACGGCTACATACGCAAGTTCAATTGGGTAGACACGGCCAATGGAAAGCTTGCCCTGACCGTGGCCCAGCGGCATCCTTTCGTTGACTCTGTCACAAAGGCGGGAGTGCTCTTGTCATACTGGGAGAACGAAGACAGTGCCGCAGCCGAGACCTTGTCTCCTGTATACTCGCTCGCAGTCCACCACCAAGCCCTATGGCTGCTATCGGGTCTGGACTCGGGAGGCATAAACCTGCAATCTGTACGCCATCAGGAAGGAACACGCATACATACGCTCAAGAACCACACCTCGGCCGTGTCCGTCTTGACGTTGTCGCAGGACGAGACATCAGTATTGAGTGGTAGTTGGGATAAGACCATCAACGACTGGGACTTGAATACCGGCCAAGTCAAGAGGAAGTTCGAGACTAGCGGCGGTCAGATCTCCGCAATCGAGCAACGGCCGCTATCTACGCTCCCTATACCGCAGGACACCGAAACCCTCCCGCTCTCCAACGGCACTTTCTCTTCCAACAATGCCGCCCGACCCCGACCCAACGGCATCCTCTCCAACGGCGTCGATACAAAGCCCGTCATACCAAAGGAGGAAGGCACAGAAGATGCTCAAGGATCTCCAGACGACTCGTTGTTCGGAGACAAGGACCAGGACTCGTTGTTCGGCGACGGCCAGGAGAACAACCTCTCAGCCACTCTCCCTTCGTTTGGGGACGATGACGACGAGTTCTCGAGAGCCATTGCGAATGGCATACAGCAAGCCGACGAAGATGCCAATGCCGATATGGATATGATGGACATGGGCGGTCCTGTACAAGCACCCGAGGAGCCAGCTGCAGAGGAAGCGAAGGAACCCCCAGCAGCCGCTGAGACACAACCAACAGCAAACGGAACTGCAGACGCCCAACTCAATGGCACTTCCAACGGCCTGCCACATGCAGAGGATACCGAGAAACCTGCTGCCACGTCCGCAAACCAAACCGAACAGCCAGCTTCCTCCGAGACAACCTTTGTCGACGCGTCAATGGACGGCACATTACGTATCTGGGACCGCCGGCAACCAAACCCGGTCGCACGCATAACACCACCACGAAATACGCCCCCATGGTGCATGAATGCATGCTGGTCACCAGACGGCAACTTCATCTACGCTGGTCGGCGAAACGGCACAGTGGACGAGTACAGTCTACACAAAAGCCTACGAGAACCGCGACGAACATTCAGATTCCCCAGCGTAAGTGGCACTGTAAGTGCCGTCCGGGCTATGCCCAATGGACGACATCTCATTTGGTAAGTTGACCACACCCCCCTTCATATGCGCACAGATACACGTGCATCGTGAGACAAGTGCTAACGTACACCAGCGCGTCATACGACATCCTGCGCCTCTACGATCTCACACACGACGAGGCAGGCCCGAAAGCCGGCGCGGCCGCAACCCCCTTCTTCATCGTCCCCGGACATCGCACCGGCGTCATATCACAATTATACCTCGACCCAACCTGCAACTTCCTCATCTCAACAGGTGGAAACAGAGGCTGGGAGGGAGCATCCACCGAGGTGATGCTTGGCTACGAGATCGGCATCGGATCTTAGCATGGAAGCGTTCTGATACTATACCCATTGTTCGCGGCGTTTGGAATGGCGTTCCTTGACAAGGTGGTTTGCGTGGACTTTTGTGATTGGGCAATAAGAGTAAAAAGTCAAGAGTTGAGAGTTTAATGTGTAAGGATCGTGACTGCAACGCGTGTGCTTGGTGACGTTGAGACATACGCAAGTGCTGATGTCGAGAAATTACGACGAAGCCGTTAGGTTGAAGCTTATTCTTCTTTTCTTTTTCCTCTCTCTTGTGCTTGTTGCAACCATTTCGTTTATTCTGCCATTGCAGCTGATCGACTACTTAGGAGACTCGGCACTTTCGTACCGCGTCGATTATGTCACGCGGAACACGCGTCCAGCATGATTTTGCGACACCGGAGATGCGGGGTAAGATTGATCAAATCTTTACCAGAAGCGCTTACCATCCCCCATAGCCCGAGACGATAGGAACATTGCGGAAGGAAGAGAGTAAAGAGAAATGACGTAGTCGGTGAGAGCCTCGTCGTAGCAAGGAGAAGCATTGGGCACAAGAGTCGGGTAGCCAGTACGCGCGCGCGCACGCAAGTCAAATAATTCTCGGATAGAGAGGGGCGATCTGAGTCCGTGGTGTTGCAGAATTAGAATGGCAGTGGGGCCCTTTCCAACATGCACCCCGCGGACACCACCCCTGGCGTTGACATCGGCAC